AAGATTGATCTATCTTGGGAATGCATCTCCGGATCATGTTATCAAGACAAATCCTAAACAAATATGGTTCATCCTAGAAATACACGCGACAATAACGAAAAACTCTTTCTTTTGCACAGAAGACAAGTCATAGGGAACAATATCGCTTGCCAGGTAATTTGCAATATCTGCATACTATGGTGGTGTAGCCTCGATGCTTGTTGCTAAGAGTTGTTCATCTGGGAAAGTCTCCATGATCTCCTCCACCTCAACCTTATTTTCCGCTCCTTCAAGCCTGGACAAATGATCAGCAACTTGGTTTTCTGTTCCCTTTCGGTCCCGGATTTCCAAGTCGAACTCTTGTAGCAGTAGCACCCATCGAATTAGGCATGGCTTTGACTCCTTTTTCTCAATTAGGTACCTGAGGGAAGCATGGTCAGTGTAAATAATTACCTTTGAGCCTATCAGGTATGACTTGAATTTATCAAATGCGAACATCACAACTAGCATCTCTTTTTCTGTCACTGTGTAGTTCAGTTGGGCGCCACTCAAGGTTCTACTTGCATAGTATATTGGATGCATGACATTATCTTTTTTCTACCCAAGAACTGCTCCTACAACATAGTCGCTTGCATCGCATATCAGATCGAGAGGTGTCCCCCAGTCGGAGAGCACTATGGTTGGTGTAGTCACCAGTTTCTTCTTCAACTCCTCAAACGCTACCCTGCAATCATCAAAAAACACAAAAGGGTGATCTTTTTCAAGCAATTTACACAAGGGGTTAGAAATTTTTGAGAAATCTTTTACAAACCGTCTGTAGAAACCGGCATGGCCAAGGAAACTTCTTATTGCTTTGATGGAAGTGGTGGTGTAGCTTTTCTATCATATCAATCTTTGCACGATCCACCTCAATGCCATTACTTGACACTAGGTGCCCCAAGACTCTACCTTCTTGTACCATGAAATAGCACTTTTCCTAGTTGATCACCAGATTAGTCTCCATACATCTTTTCAGCTCTCTTTTTAGATTCCTTAGGCAATCATCGAATGAGTCTCCCACCACTGAGAAATCAGCCTGAAGACCTCCATTATGTATTTTACCATATTTGTGAAGATGGCCATCATGCACCTGTATAGGCCGAACGACATTCTTCGGAAAGCATAGACACCATATGGACAAGTGAATGCCATTTTCTCTCTATCTTTCGGGGTAATAGAAATCTGATTATACCCTAAGTGTCTATCCATAAAGTAGTGGGACCTCCCAGCCAATCTATCTAACATCTGATCAATGAACGACAAGGGAAAATGGTCTTTTCGGGTGGCCTTATAGAATCTTCTATAGTCCATACAAATTCTCCATCCCGTGACTATTTTTGTTGAGATCAATTCATTGTTCTCATTTTGCACTACAGTCATTCCACCTTTCTTTGACGCACATTGAACTGGGCTAATCGGGTTGCTATCGGATATGGGGAAAATGATCCCCGCATCTAACCACTTTATCACCTCCTTTTTCACAACCTCTTTCATGTTGGGTTCAGCCTTCTTTGATGTTCTCTGAAAGGCTTGTGGCCATCTTCCAGTAAAATCTTATGCATACAGAAGGCCAGGCTGATACCCTTAATGTTTATAATGGTCCATCCAATTGTAGTTTTGCACTCTATCAATACCTGCAAATGTTGTTCTTCCTACACATCTAACAAACCAGATGAGATAATAACACGTGAAGTTGAGTTAGGTCCCAAGAAAGTATACCCGAGATGAGATGGTAGTGGTTTCAGTTACAACTGTGGTGGCTTTTCGATCGATGGCTTAACTGGAGAAGTCTTTCTTCTTCTAAATGCAAAGACTCAAATTCGAGCTCTCTTTTCCAGAACCCCTGGCCTTCAAGAACCAACATCCACTCTACCAACTCCTCTCCATTTACTTCTTCTAAATTCGTAAGACATGCTGCTAGAGGGTCTTTAGCGTTCAGAGTCTCATCTTTCTCCTCCAAAATTACATCCACAACTTCTATTAATGAGCAGTTAGCAAATTCACTTGGTCACCGCATAGACTTCTATATATTGAATGTTATCTCTTCATCATTCAGACTCATTTTTAGTTCTCCAGTTTCACAATCAATCAGAGCTCTCCCATTGGCCAAGAATGGTCTTCCTAAAATTATGGGAATCTCCTCGTCAACCGGGCAGTCCAGAATGACAAAATCTGCTGGAAACAAAAACTTTTCAACCTGCACTAGTACATCATCAAAGATACCTGATGGCCTCTTCACTGTCCGGTCGGCTAGCTGTAGTAACATGGATGTGGGTCTTGCTCTTCCAATGCCTAACCTTTTATAGATAGCCAACGACATCAAGTTTATGCTTGCCCCCCAAATCACACAATGCTTTGGCAAAAGCATAGCTACCTATTATTCATGGGATTGTGAAACTCCCTGGGTCTGACAACTTCTCAGCTATGGGTCTCGTCACGATAGCACTATAGGTCTGGGTTAGTGTAATAGTGGCCAAGTCTTGGAAGTCAAACTTGCGAGACATCAAATCCTTCATCATTTTGGCATACCTAGGCATCTCCCTCAAGGCGTCAATCAGTGGAATGTTCACCTAGATTTGTTTCAATATCTCCATGAATTTCTTATAATGCTCATCCTTCTGATATTTGGCCAATCTCTCTAGGAATGGTGCTAAAGGTCGCTTCCTTCCTATGATTTGAGTTTTATCCTGCTCAGGCACTGCTTCAACTGTCATTTCTTGTGCTACTTCAGTTTCCTTCATAACCTCTTTTTCTTTGCTTGTTCTCTCTTGTGCATGTTGTATTGTTACCTTAGTTAAACCTATTGAATCATATACCTCAATGGGTACTAGCACAAGTGTTTCAGTTGGTCGGCTTTCGCGAGCAATTTCTTGCTCTAGATCTAGATCTCTACCATTTCTTAGACTTACTGCCATAGGCTGTTTTGGGCCCTGCTCTTTTGAATTGACTTGTGTATTTGTAAGTAACGTCCCTTGGGGGCGATTATTCAAAGCCTTTGATATCTGTCGTAATTGAATCTCAATGCCTTTTATCGCTGATTCATGTGAGGCCACTCTCGCTTGCATTTTTCCATTGGACCCAATCATTTATTGCACCATTCCTTTAATTTCAGATAACCCATCATCTTATCTCACTATCTGTTGTTGTTGAGGCTATTGATAAGCTAGCTGCTGATTTTGCTGGTTGTATCTCTGTTGCCTTTGGTAAGGCACAACTTGACCTTGTGGTTACATAGCTCCAAGATTGTTGCTATTATTGTATTGTTGTTGTGCTGGTCTATATTGCTGATTCTGTTGCCCCCAATTCTGACCACCTTGCCTCTGTCCTCCATAGTTGGCCACATAGTTCATGTCTTCCTGATAGTGCTGGTTGTCACCTTTCGCACTCCAAGATCATACATATGATTGGTTAATGTATGGTGTACATAATCCCCCATTAGTCGTGTTAACTATGTGTACCTGCTGCTTTTGGCCTGATTCATCGATCTTTTTAGCGAGGATACTCATTTGTGTCATCAGAGTGGCCATATTTTTTGCTGTGGAGTTGTTTGGGTCCAAAGCCACTGAGTGAACTGCATGAGTGATCGTAGAGTCTCTTGTCATCCATCTTGAGTTTTGAGCCATTTTATCAAGTAGGATCTTGCATTCTCTGAATGATTTGCTCAAAAATGCTCTGTTTGTTGAAACATCAACATTGGCATTTAAGCTGTCTGCCAATCCCATGTAGAACCTCTGCCCCAACATTTGATCTGGAATGCCATGATGTGGACACTTAACCAACATACCTTTGAACCTCTCCCATGTTTCTTGTAATGTTTCTATTGGTCTCTGCCTGAAGCTCAATATCTCATCAATTTGTTTGATAATTTTATTGGGTGGGTAGAATTTTTTCAAAAATTGCTTGACTAATTCCTCCCAAGTAGTGATGGAGTTTATGGGAAGTGAATTAAGCCAAGTCTAAGCCTCTCCCATCACCGAGAATGGAAACAATAGAAGCGTTGTTGCTTCCGGTGTCACATTAGGTTGCCTTTGCGTGACACATATTGACGGGAAATTTTTCAAATGCTGCTGAGGATCTTCAATGTAAGACCCTGAGAACAGTCCCTTGTTCTGCAACAAATGTAGCATGTTGTTTGTGATTTGAAATGATTCCGCTTGTATCTGAGGGACTGCAATTGCTGTTGGCAGATTTTTGGCAGTGGGTTGTGCCCAATCATACAATGCTGCTTCTGGCACAAGAGGCACTACACCCTGATTGTTCGGGTCATTCGCATTGTTTCTGTTGTTGTTTGGATTTTCTATTCTGTCATCCATGTCTGGTTCGATTTGTTATGTTAAGTTCTGTTGCTGTTTGCCCTTCTTGTTTGCACGATTCAATGCCTTAAAAACTTTCTAAGGACTAAGCGGTCGTTGCAAATATATTCTAGTTAACAAGTCCGGAGTTGAATCCCACAGGGAATCAACCTATTAAGCACAGCTACTAGACTTGTACAAATTCATGCAATCAATCTTCAGAAATATTTAAATAACAAATCGGATGTTTACTACTAAAGATCTAGTTATGAAAATGCAGTAATTAATAACTAACTATGAACAAGTTGTAGACAAGATTTGCAATGATCTAAGGTTATGATTTCTCCTATTGTCGGAATCATTTTCGCTACATTTTCTATAAATTTTCCTAGGTTTTCTCTACCAATCATCAGCTCTCTGAGTGTCGTAATTCTCTCCCGAGTAACTACCACAATTTGCTAGACATATTCTTCCAAATTACGCTAGCTGACACTAAGTACGGCTCACTCGGATCGCACCAATCGTATTGATCCCTCATATATGTTAGGAGTGATGTTGTTCAACAACTACCTAGATATGCACTCTCTTCCGAGTAATACACACTAAATAGGCATAGTCGATTGAGAGCTCTTCAACCAATCACAATATAAAGGTAGTTGAACAAATAGAGAAAAAGCTACGACAAATCTATATTAACGTAACAGGAAAATCATTCTCCAATAAGTTCCATTAAAACCCTACATTAGAAGTTTAGCTACTCATACTCATAGTAACAATATCCCAAGTGATTTGCATAAATAAATTACAAAGTAAAGATGAAGGAATGTGGAAATCGATGATTCTATCTCCCAACGGGTATTCCACGAGCTATTCTTGCCCCCGGTTGCAAAACTCCTCCAAAAGTGGCGTTTAATGTCTATTTATATGTGTAAGAAAAGACATAAATTAGTCAAACAAGGAGACGAAATATGCCTTCAAAATCTGGATCAGGCTTTCCTCAGACCGTGTCTCGCGAGGTAAAATGCGAGATGAACCTCGCCCCAGACCATGCGACGCCTGCCTCCACGCGAGCTCAACCTCGCCTTATCCCTCGCGTCGCCTGCTCCCACGCGAGCTCAAAGGCTCGCCACGCCAGCTCTAACGCGAGCTCAGTAGCTAGCTTCGCCAGCTTCCTCATTTTTCCGCTGCTCACTTCTTTCTTCCTTTTTTTCAACTATTTTCGAGCACGCTTTAGACTTTAAATATTTCTTTTGCTCTACTTTCATCTCCAATGTACCTACACATAAAATAGACTATATTATGCGTAAATAAACTGTAATTTAGCATTAACGCACCTAAAATGCAAGGTAAATAATGTGCTAAAATATGGAATTATAACCACACATTAATCAACCATACCTTTTCATCCCACTATTTTTTTTTTTTTTGCATAATTTGCAAGAATTTTTGCTAAACTATGAGAGCGAAAGAGAAGAGATAGAAGAAGAAATACAAGGAGAGAAAAGGGGAGGGAAGCCAAAATAAGCGAGTAATTTTTTTGAGAGAGAATATATAAGAGAGTAGTTTTTTTACGATTTGGCTATATAATGCCAATTGTTTGAGGCTATCTTTGCCAAATCTAATATAAGGCTAAAAAATACCAATTCCTATTATGTGTTGTTATAGGATGCTAATTTTTCTTTAAAGATACCATGTTTAACCCTTTTAATCCCTAGATACTAATTCCAATTGAGAGGAAACAGTGAAGCTATACGACAAAAACTAACTACTTAAAGCTACAAACATTCAGAAGTAAAAAGAATAGCTTTAACCCCAGTGTCATTATTATTTATCTAACTCAAAGCAACTAATCAGATAGTATCAAGATAATGGATTAACTAATCAAAATAACGACCAAACTTCCTCTAATACTAACAACAACAAATTTGAATTTTTAAGTAAACCCAGTTCGAGTTATGGAATCAACTTACACATAGATATAAACCTAATGCAATAATCATTCAACCAAAATCCATGAATCAAACTAGGAAGACATGATACATGTGTAAAAGAACGGATCTTTATTGCCGAATTCGAATTTTAAAGCTTTGCAACTCAACAAACGGACCAAACACCAGTGACCACGATCGGAAACCAGTGACAGCAACCTCGAACTCAACTCTCGAACCCCTTTTAGCTTCAGCTGAGGGAACCCATTTTTTACTGATTTTTGGTGATTGTCTTGGGCCGTTTCCGGGGTGTTTTCTGATGGAAGAACCGCGGCTGTTATGGGGGTCGTTTTTGGGGCTTCTAGATGGAAGATTTTGGTGGCTTAACATATGGTTATGGGGACTAATTAATAGTGGAAGAAGGTGGTCGTTTCACGGTGTTAAATTGCTGGTTATTTGGTGAGTTTTATGGCTGAAACTTGGTGCTTGGGAAAGAAGGCTGCTTTAATAGTATTTTGGGTGAAGTTTCATGGAGGAAAATAGTGTTTGGGAAGAAGGAGGATTTCTGCTTTTTCTTAAGCTGCTGCGCCTCTTTTCTTTCTAGCTCTCTTGCTAGCTAAAGATGAAGATTATTCCTAGCGTTCCTTTTTCGTTCCTTTCTTTTCCGTATTTTTATCTGTCTAGGTCTAGTGGGGTAAAATATGAGAAAGAAGTTTTATAGGTATAAGTGTATATGTGCAGGGAGGTTTTATGTTGTGCTTCTCGTTTGGTACGAAAAATAAGGGATAATTAAATTCAGGATTAAATTTAAGATGAACTTATTTCATATTTGGTTGGGATAAAATTATGGTATAACTAATGGAATTAGTTATCCGAAGATTGTAATATTTTTTTATCCCTATAGAATAACTAATTTCAGAATAACTAATTATGGAACAATTTGTTTCCCAATAAAACGACTCCTTAGCGTAAGGAGAAGGAAACTTTAGGGAGGAATATTATGGAATATGCCTATTGGATAAAAAGAAATAATCATAGTGGAGCTTCCTAGAAGGTGTATAGGAAGGAATAGGAGTGATTAAGTGGCATATTATTTTTTAAAAATCCTATCCTTACTAAATTAAAATACCCAAAGTAGGAATAATAATTAGTTAATTTTAATCTGAAATTTATTAAAGAATAATTCGAAAACGCTAACTTACTAAAATTGAAAGAAGACAATATTTTTGGTGATTTTTTAATTTTCTCAAACAAAGCTTGTTGAAATTTTTATCTTAAGAACTTGAACTACTCTCTCTCTCTCTCTCTCTCTCTCTCTCTCTATATATATATATATA